AGCTCCTGAATGCCTACCCTGAGGTTCTTTATGGCTTCCAGAATTGTGGGCCAATTATAAAGCCTTTGTTCCCCAATCTGGCTATGAGCATAAACTCATCTGAAGCACAGAGAGTTTAAAAACCAGACTCAAACCTGTCCTAGAGAAGAAAGAGCATTATCTCTGCCTGCTGGGAGGTCCTGACCCACTTTGCTATTTATTTTGCCTGTGGATGACACTAATGAGACAGAAAGGGAAAAGGCACATATTATTAGCTCCTAACACGCACATTAGAGGATGCATGAAGACCTGAATTGGCCAGCTGAACCTTTAGTCAGTCAAAAATTATCTCTTTTTTTCCTGCTAGTGCTGCTGGAGTTCTTATGATAGGGCTCTCATAATCACTTCAAATACTTATCACTTTAGCCACTCAGGAATAGCCCAAAAATATTTCCAGTGTAGGGATATACTTGAGGTTTGATAGATAACACCAGGAAAAATAGCACAGCAAACATTTCTCTGCTTGTAACAGCATCTCCTTTGAAGCTGCAAGAGGCCTGCTGACACAGGCAGTCTCAGCCCTCCTAATCATAGGGGCTTTCCCACCCTGAGTGTTTATGCAGAACTAAAGCAGATTGTGCCTTAGCTGTGGTGGAAAAGCACTTACACCCAGAACCTAAAGAAGCATTTAAAATTACAGCTCAAAAGATTTTTAGGAGCTGCAAGGAGGCCCCTGGAAGATATGGCAATGTACTCATCCTTTCATTGTGCCTAACTTACTATCCAAATGCAGCTTCCTGCCACATGAGTGCAGGCCCAATCTCCATAACAACCAGTCACATATGGCACTTAATCACTCCTGCAAGCCTTCAGTGCATCTCCAGTTTAAAATATCATTATAGGATCTTCCTAGTCTGCTTGTTCCCAGGAACAGGGATGAACCACCAGCACTGCTTCCCTCTTCCGAGCTCTGAAGGAAGTCACAAATAAGAAGACTCACATTCCCCATTTTTAAACACAAACCAACCCAAGGAGGGCTAGCAGCTTGCCCAAAATGAGATCAGCACATTTAGGAGCAAAGATAACAAACTCACTCCCCATCTCTTTCTGTCCCAAACCTTCCCAAAAATACAAGTAATCTGATAATTTTAAATGGTCTCTTGGCATAATCTCCCTCCATGCAGTAGAGACAAGAGATCAGCAGCAGCAACAAAAAGACAAGAGGCAAAGAGATCAGCTCCAACTCGAGAAAAGGAAACACTAATTCTGACTTTAAGTTCCGTTCTTCACTCAGTCAACTAAAGCAAAACATCTGTTATAGCTAAACAAAATTCCACACACAGCCTCCCTGAGAAACACCCTGTGCCCAGAAATCCATGCTGAGCATGGCACCCTCATGGATGTATCCCTCCCTTTCCCTAGTCACAAAGGAGCCACAGCAACGCCACTGCTGCTGCTACAAAGTCACCATCAGCAAAGGATCTTCCCTGGAGCAGAAGGGATCCCCAGAGCTGCCCTGCCCCAGGCACGGGTCAGGCTCTCAGCGGGGCAGGAGGGAGAACGGACATTGACTGTGAAACCTTCCCCTCCACAGAGATGGACAACCAGCACCCGAAACTCCCAGCATCATGCTGAACCAGCTACTGGGGCATAGCCCAGAATGCACGTGTCAAACCACAATTATTAAAACAGCATGGCAGCTAATTAATTAAAGAGATTGCATTTGAAACAAACTTACCATCTCGGTCTTCATCGTGAATATTCAGATACAAGTATTCCAGCCCTCTTCCTTTCTTGCCATGCTCTGCTCCCTGTATTTTAGCCATGAGTGTGGTTTTGCCTGAACCGTCATCACCTGCCAGTAAGTTTGTAGAGGAAAAAAAGACACCTTCAGAATTACATTTGACCTCACAGAAAAGATTTTTTCACAACTTGCTTAATTAATGAGAAACATCCTTGTACACTTCTGAATCACAGTTCTTTGCTGTTCTCTATCAAGTATTTCCGCTAAATCTAATGGCTTATACCAAAACAATAAGAACGAAAAACTATCTTATTCTCAATTATTACTTAAAATAGGCTATAAATCTAACAGTGGAAATCAAAGAGAAAGTAAATCTATAAGCACAAGTCAAGATCACAGAACAAATTACATAACTCAACTGTAAGGAACCCATGTGTCAGTTTGCTACAATCCGTGTTTGAAATACTCTTTGCTTCTACAAATAAAAAGACAACAAACCAACACCCAACTGGTTGTGCGTGTTACTTACCAAAAACAAGAATATTCTTGCCTGATGGCAGTTTAGATCTGGACCGTGTAGAGACCTCGCTGAGGATGGAGGACCTGGGGAAGCAGCAGAGCGGCCGCGTTAGCGGCACGGAGCGAGCGGAGCGGGCTGTGACAGCACCGTGAGCTCAGCACATCCGCACCCAGCAGCGGCACACGCGGGCTGTGCACCGGCAGGGCTGTCACAGCCACGGGCCAATTGCACTCTGAACCATCCCAAGCATGCCACCTTCTACAGAACAGCTTTTATGATTTCTAAACCACAGGAAGGGACATTTTAAGTTCTCCTCCTTTGTACGAGGCCGCAATACTGCAGAACATTACTTTTCAACTAACTCCCATCACAATCGGTTACTGTATTCGATATACGCCTTTCTGCCATTACAGGTATTTTTTAAAGCGTTCTTTAGAAATAAAAGCCGACCACACACGAGATCGCCTTTGCCGGAGCGGGCCCCGCGGATGTCCCGCAGAGCCGCGGTCCCGGGCCCCGCTCCCTTCCCACCCCCGTCCTCCCGTCCCCGCGCCCGCGGGGCTCCCGTCACGCACCCCCGGAGCCCCCGGCCCTGCCCGCCGGCTCCGCCGCCGCCGCCCGCGGGGCCCGAGCGCGGCCCCGACCGGCCGAGGCCCCGCGCTGCGCTCCAGCCCCGCGGAGCCCGGGCTCGCCCCGCCGTGCAGGGCCCAGGCGGCCGCGGGCGCTCACCAGAGGTTCTGCCCCTCGTCCTCCTCGCCGGGCAGCTCGGCCCCGCCGGGCCCGTCCGGCCCCAACAGCTTCTTCTCCGCCAGCACCGGCGCCATCTTGGAGCCGCCGCCACAAAGAGTGACCTCAGCGGGCCGCGAGGACCCCGCCCCGCCCCGCCCGGCCGCGCCCGCCCCTCCGCGCCGCGCCCGCCCCTCCGCGCCGCGCCCGCCCCTCCGCCGCCGCGCCCGCCCCTCCGCCGCCGCGCCCGCCCCTCCGCGCCGCGCCCGCCCCTCCGCGCCGCGCCCGCCCCTCCGCGCCGCGCCCGCCCCTCCGCGCCGCGCCCGCCCCGCTATCAGGCGGTGCCCGGGCAGCCCCGGCCGCGGCCCGCCCTGCGCGCGCCGTCCTGGAGCCGCCAGCGCCCCCTGCTGCCCGCGGGAGCGGCGCCTGCTCGGGAACCTCCGGCTGCACCCCCGGACCTGCTCGGGAACCTCCGGCTGCACCCCCGGACCTGTTCGGGAACCTCCGGACCTGCTCCGGAACCTCCGGACCTGCTCGGGAACCTCCGGACCTGCTCGGGAACCTCCGGCTGCACCCCCGGACCTGCTCGGGAACCCCCGGACCTGCTCGGGAACCTCCGGACCTGCTCGGGAACCTCCGGCTGCACCCCAGGACCTGCTCGGGAACCTCCGGCTGCACCCCCTCCGGACCTGCTCGGGAACCTCCGGCTGTACCCCCGGACCTGCTCGGGAACCTCCGGACCTGCTCGGGAACCCCCGGACCTGCTCGGGAACCCCCGGACCTGCTCAGGAACCTCCTGCATCATCCCTGGTACCTGCTTGGGTACCTCCTCATGACATTCCTTACCTGCTCAGGTACCTTCTTCTATACTCCGGTACCTTTCCTGGGACCTCCTCACAATACCTTCTCCTGATCTTTGTTTCCTGCCCCGATACTTCTGCCCAGGTAGCTCCCCTCACCTCCCGGTAGCTCCCCGCAGCCGCGATCCCTGCCCTGCCGCGCCTCGCCAGTGCAGCCCCGGTGCCGGCAGTGCTGGGGGCAGACCTGGATGAGCACACGGTGTAAATTGTTGCTGACTGATCAAGCTGTCATTACCACCCCATCTTCACACCCCTAACACCCTCTGTTTGACCAACAGAACCAGGAGAGAACGTCGGGGTTTTTACAAACAGACTTTCCTCGGTGGTTTGTCAGTCATTCCAGCCTTTCAAAGTGCTGAGATACTGCCCTGGGTGGCCCAAAAAACCTAAAAGTGACATCAACTATTCTCATGCAATTTTGGTTTTGTGGTGCCTGTTACATGTGGATTTCAAAGCACTTGTGCAAGAAAATTAAACTGATCAAAACTGTGCAGTCAATTCAAAGGAGAGCAAAAGACTGACTTGCACAAATTCACACCTCAGGTTTCTGCCTGCTCCGGGTCCACGACTTCCCTTTCGGATCCCACCAGAATGTTCCAGTGATGTGGTTCCAGCCCCTGCCTTGCGAGAGGAGGTGAAGCACGAGCTGAGGCTGCCCGAAGAGGCAGCAGGAATTCCTTCCTTGAAGAGTCTCAGAACTTGATAAGGCACTGAACAACTTGAAAAACTTTGACCTCAGACCTGCTTCAAAGAGGAGAGGAGACCAAAGGCTCCACGGGGCCTTTCCAATCTGAACTACACCTTAAATTGTGGTAAACTGTCAGTATTACAACTCAGTATTCTCACCTTGTGGCAAGATGTACACCTTACATGTTTTAGTGACTTGAGACATATTTCAGGTCTTGACAATGTGGATAGTAATACACATTCAGTCAAAGGGTGAAGCAACAGCTTGTGTGGACTAAGCTGGCATCCCTGGAAAAACACCTGGAGTGTGTAAGGGACCCCAGTGTCCTCCCTGGGAAAACTCCACCTCAGGAGCCCTTTTGGCTCCCACTCTGCCAATAGTTCCACTGATACTCAACCCTGCAACTGGCAACAGCTCCACTCAGAGGCATCTTTTATAGATGTTTCAATATTTTAAAAATAAAAAAACCCAAATTGCAACAGCTGAAAATATTGGAAGACATATTTATTGCATCATTGGCATCATCTTTATTACATGTCTCTCAGGTTTTGGTTACCTTGCCTGTTTTCAAGCATTCAAGCTACATCATAGTGAAAACCTAGTGCTAATACAATAACTAAACCTCTTCCATAATAAATTAACTATTGATTCACCATTCCTTCATCAGAACAAGTAAAAAATACAACTGAAATACTAAGGCTATCACTGAAAAAGCCAGTTAGCAAGGCCCATATAATTCTATAAAAAATGTGTAATTAGCAGAAATACTGGTTCTGCTCACTTATTTGAAAAATACACCAGAAAACTGTCTAACTATAAACAGAAGCCAAATTCTACCAGTACCTGCTCAGTTCAACAGTGAGTACAGAATTTCTGTAGCAGTGAAAGATTTGCCTCTGTGCAGCACTGTTTAACCACGCATTCAGTGTTTTGTCACAGAGACATTTTTCTGCACATGCAGCATATTCAACACATGACAAAATATTCCACCTGCTTTAAACATTTCACTAATTAAGAGAAAACAGATTCAGACACAACAACATTAACAGCAGTTTCAGACATAAAGTATTCATTTTAGCAATACATCCTTTTCTTACAAATGGTATAGAGCAAGCCACAAAAAATTAACCCAAAAGTTACACAGATCAAATGCTCAAGAAGGTTAAATTAAGTTCCAAATTAATGTAATTTTTACTGATAGAGATTTTGTTGCCTATGATAGCATTACTTTAAAAAATTGTCAAGTTATGGTAAATTAAAATTATAATGCATAACAATTCAATTCAGTCAGTTGTCACTGAAAAACAGGAGTCCAAGACAACCTAAATTCTCCAAGGGTTTGAGTTGTTCTGGCAAGACCTCAATATTACAAAAGCTGTTCTTGAACATTCTGCAACAAAATCCAAAGCACTTGCAGATGATGTTATTGATGTCCTTTGTGAGCTTTTTTCATCTATAAAATGGACATAAAAGAGAAAATATCAAGATAAATGTTGCCCCAAACCACTGCACAATTACAGACCAGCTTTCAGGAGACAAAGGCTTGTCACTCAATTGCTCCCATGGTCTCCAAAGAACAGGAGCAATGCTCCCTGTGTGAGGGATGCATGGATTAATCACTGGGAAACTGCTGCAGAGGCTCTCACAGACCAGCATCACAACAGAGGCTGAACAGACAGGAGACCAACTTCCTGATAAACACAGGAATTAATTCAGAGTTCTTAGTGACACTCACATACTCTTTGTATCCTGTCAGGTGGCAGTGTCAAGTTCCAAGGCTCTGGTTTTTCCCCACTTTTGTTCTCTCTCTCCAAGCATCAATTCCAATTCTGATGGAATTACACCAGAGACCATTCCCATGGGCACTGCACTGACACAAGGCACAATCCCATGGCTGCACACTCTGGAAGCCTGTCTTTATTTCTGCAAGTCAGCTCAGGAGCTAATGATGAAAACTGGGCTCCCAGCATTTGCCATCAGTAGAAAATTCAGTGATGAGTACCTGCACTTGTAGCCTGTAGTACTTCTTGGAAAGGTCAACACTTGTCCGTCCTTTCTGGAAAGGGTAAGACCACAAAATCAAATTCCACTGGTTGCCCATTTTTTGGACACCGTTCAAAAGGCAGTTGATTTCTTCAGTTGTGAAATCTTTTCGGACTCTTCTCTTGTTCAGAGGTCTCATGCTCATGGCCAGGGAACACATTTCCTTGCCCTGCAAATAATTATTTTGGTGTCATTAAGAATTATGGAAATACACGTAATATTTTTGCACGTGGAAGTAACATTACTGGCAATTCAACATTTTGTAGTTGTAAAGAAATGGTCCCACTGTCAAGGGAAAAATGCTTCTCCAAGGTTTCTTCACTGTCACCACTTATTAAAATACAGTATTTTTCTGTGATCTTCATTTCTGTTGTGCCTACATAGTTTATTCTTTTAGCAGGTTTATTCCTTTAGGTTTCTGTTACTTCCATACTATGCAAATCTTCATCAATACAGGAAAAATCAGACCTCCAGATCCTCATTCTGAAAAGATGTCAGCTGAAAAATATTGAACTCAATTCAGGGCTAAATCAGTGTGACTGGAGTAGAATCAACACAGGAATATATTTTTAATAAGGTTCATTTTGCTACTGGGCTCCTGTTAAAGGTGACTAAAAAAGAAACTATGCAATTCCTGGTGCTTTTATTTGGCCATTTATAAACATGTCAGTGCATGATTAGGCTTTGCATAACTAACCTCATCTTTGTCAAGTGAATGTGTGCAATTTTCTTTTAAGTGCTGACATTTCTGGCTGCACATCTCTTTGACTCTCTGTCTCTTCAGGTTAACATCTTGGCTTTTTGCTACAAAATTGTGAACAGGGAGGCCACTTAGTCACTTTAAACTAACTAAAATATACTGAAAAACTGGATATAAAACTGTAAAGGAGCATTTATTCTAATGAATCAGAATATGCAAATGTTGCTTTGTTAGTAACATCGCATTCTCCTTAGATCTTTTTCTCATAATCCACACTAAGACATAAGGACTATTGATGAGCCAGAAACAAATAATAATATTATTGATTTTTCAAGTGGATTTCTGTAAGAAAAAGTGTAACAGTTTATTTAATTTCATAGCCATTTATCTCCAATAGCAAGGACAGGCGTTTCTCTCAATGCCCTGACCTAAATGCAAATACTGATCTTTCAGTTGTACGTATCAGGGAATTCATTTTCTGGTAATACTCACACTTTTCATATGCAGGTGTCAAGTTATAGTTGCTAGTCCACCTAATATTTCTACTATGTTCATCTCTCTTTGAAGCATTAGATTTGTCTTTTCTATTTGGAGTCAAAAGAATGCCTTAAAAATAAACAATAAAAACCCAAACAATAAAACATTACACACCTTTATTAGAAAAAAACCCCAAATCATAAAACGTAAGTTATGTTTTCGGAATTAAAATTTAAGAGAGAACCATCTTTTAAGCCATACCACTAATCTGATCTTGGAAGAAAGACTGGAAAATTCCGTTTACTTTAGCTTGCAGGAAATGTAGACTTGCTAAAGACAATATATTGTTGTAATGGGCTTTCAAGATGAAATACAGTTGCTTTGGTTGGGTTTTTTTACATTTTAAATTAACTCTGTGGCTTTCATAAAACAAATTAATCAATTACTGAATCTGAAGGGGAAAGATATAAACAAATTCAAAAATCAACCTACTAGCTTTTACTGGGCATTAATTAAATAACATAACCATGTGAACAAGGCTTTTGAAAAAAAGAATACTAAAACCAAAATTTTGGTGGGAATTTCAAAATTCAAATTTTAATTCTAATTTCAAAAAATAATTCATTCTTAAGGATTCCCCTTGTAGCTGTTTATTGCAAGCTCCAAGTCCTCAGAAGAGCTCCCAGCAGGAACAGGAATGGGTCTAATGGAAAAACAGGACTGGAACTGCGTAAGGAGTGGTGCTGAATCCAGGTTCAGGCAGCTCAGCTCTGCTTTGAGCTTGACTAAACCTCTCCATTTTAGAAAACAAAGCCACAAAAAACTGAGAAATATCAAATGCCAAGGAAGTATCCCTGACAGGATTCAAAACAGGATCAACACAGCAAGTACCAGATAACTTTGCAGGGAAATAATGTGTATTACACAATTTCATGATTATAGAGTATGCATTTTCTGGCCTAATAATAAACAGATTATTCTCAGAATCTAGAGGGGAAAAAAAAAAAAAAAAGTTTTCTATCTATAGTCTCCCATGGTAAAGAATAAAGAATATACAGACAGTAAGGGCTTTTCATACCAGTTTCCAAACCAAACCCTTACTTTGGAAACTATCCTTCTTGCTCCTAAAAGTTGGTATTTCTTTAAGCAGCCTGTCTTTCTTCACTGGGGCCAGCAGCATTTCTGGAAAATATAAAATGAGCACCAGTATAAATGCCAGTAAGTAGTAACTGTTTAATTTTCAGAATACCCTCTTTAAACCAAAAAAATATAGGATGTGCTTCTATTTAATTCATTAAGATCTCTAAGTATCCTGGACCTGTAAGGGTATCAGGAATAGTGTGACCAGCAGGAGCAGGGGGATCATTCTTCCCCTTTGTTTGGCACAGGTGAGGCCACACCTTGAGTGCTGTGTCCAGTTCTGGACCCCTCAGTTTGGGAAGGACCTTGAGACACTTGAGCGTGTCCAGAGGAGGCAACAAGGCTGGTGAGGGGCTGGGAACACAAGCCCTGTGAGGAACGGCTGAGGAAGCTGGGGGTGTTTAGCCTGGAGAAAAGGAGACTCAGAGGTGACCTTATCACTCTCTGCAGCTCCCTGAAAGGTGGTTGTAGTTAGGTGGGGGTCAGTGTCTTTCTCCAGGCAGCAAATGACAGAACAAGACAATACAGTCTTAAGCTGCACCAAGGGAAACAGAGGTTGGATATTAGGAAAAAGATTTTCATAGAATGAGTGATAAAGTTCTGGAATGGCCTGCCCAGGGAGGTGGTGGAGTCATCATCCCTGGATGTGTTTAAAAACAGACTAGATGTGGCACTTGGTGCCATGGTTTAGTTGAGGTGTTAGGGCTGGGTTGTAACTGATGATCTTAAAGGTCCCTTCCAACCCAGTCATTCTGTGATTCTGTGAATATTGAATGAAATTACTTCAGTGTGGTCATACATTTACTCGCACATATTTTAACTTAATACATTCCTTTCTCTTAGGACTTGACTATTTCTGGCAATGTGAGAGTCTAATGAAAGCCCATAATGAGCATCTGTCACCATGGCAAGAAACACACAAGATCCTTCAAAACAGAAATGGCCACTTCTGATCTCACTTAGTACAAATCATTGTAAAGCAAATTCAATGAGTGAGTTTAAAACAGCAAGACAATCAGAAGCAAATAAACAAAAGTTCAGAATTTTAAATGCAATTCTAAAGCAAAGGTTCCAAGTATTGAACATAAACTCCATACTCTGGTGAGTTGCAGATCTGCTGTTGTTACCAGCAGCCACCCTGCAGAGCTCCCCTCGGTATCTTTCTTCAGCCTCCAAGATGACTCGGTGGTGCTCACACCTATGCAGGCAACTCTGTAACATCTTGGTGAAGGTTTTACTGTTCAAGGACAGTCCTCTGGCTGTACAACCTGGGAAAAATAGGATATTACAGAAATAGCAATCACAGCTTCTGAAGAAACCACCACAAAGTTCAGAGTTTTATTTTGCTCACCAGGATCAATTTGACTTCAGGTTTTCCATAGTCATGGTATTTTTATGTGACTTCTTGAAATACTTTGTATTTGCTCTCTTAAAAAAAATTGTTTTCAACATTTTATGGGATTAAGTTATACTGCACTTCCACTCCAGAAGTACTGAGTGAGGCACAGATACTCTACAGAACTACAAATATTGGTGGGATGGGAAGGCACAGCACTCAGTTCCATTTGCACATTTATCCAGGAGCTAATATATATATATATATATAGTGTACTATATTTTTTTTAAAAAACTTTGTGTTGTAACAGTTACCTGTATTAATCTCAATCAAGGCTAAATATAGTTTAGGCATCAATGCCCTCACAGGAAGCCTTGCTGTTCATTTTTGAGGACATTCCTAGCATAATTTATGGTTTAGATATCCTTGGATGCTCTCATGGTTAAGTTACATCAGCTAAAGGAGAACTTCTGTGAGGAGTCACAGGAAGGGCACAAGTATCTATAACATTCTACCTTAAGGTAAAGCAGTGCTAAAGCTCAGCTTGAATTTAGTTTGACAACTCTGATAAAAATAATGTTCAAAGGTGGGTTTGGGGGGAGGGTCTTTTGTTTTCTGTGGGTTTTTGTTTTGTTGGGGGTTTTTAAATAAAGAAACATTGGCTTGATTACAAAATCCACTCATAAATCCAGAGAACCAGCAGTATTCTCATGACCTACTGATGGAGCAGGCTGAGGAAGTAGAGCCTGGGGTAATGGAGGGCTGTAGTCATGGATTACCATGAAAGTGCCTGCCTGTACTTCACAGCAGTGAGGCAGAGAGAAGGGCTGCAGAACACTGAGGAGGCTTAGCAGGAGAATAAATGAGGGAAATGAGCAGGGCTGTGTGTTCTTCCTCCCTCTCTGAAAGCAGAGAAAGGAGGAAAACACCTGCTCAAGTATTCTTCTAATTAGGGAGTAATCTTTTAAGTTATGGTATGTTCTGTTTGTCAGCAAACCCATGTTATTACATGGACCAAAACTGCAATTTGTCAGCTTTATTTCAATATTTATCTTTTGGGGGAAGGGGAGGGGATGGGAGGGGAGGGGAGGGGAGGGGAGGGGAGGGGAGGGGAGCAGCTCAGGTTTTGTTAATACTTTAGAGGTAATAGAAGAGATGTTACAATTTCTGTCAAGTCAATCTGTACTGTACTGCTGACTCTTTGGGGCTTCTTTGTGTACTCTGGAAAGAAAGATCTAAGATAATATTTACCTAAACACCTTAAATCTGCCATTTTATGGGATGAAGGTGTAACTGAAGTACTTCTGACTCTCTCAGTTTTCTCTGAGCAGAATGAATGTTGATCTAAATGAGGGAGGAAAAAAGTCACTAAGAAATATAACCTCTTTTGCCATGGTAATCATGCCACAGTATAACTAAATCCAACTGCATTTTCTATTTGTAGATTATTGAAGTTTAATTAACATAAAAGAAGAAAATCCAAATGAAATTTCTCACGTTAAATGCCTCACATTTCTGTAATTCCAGAATAACCATGTTCAACGCAATGTTTTTTCATCACTCTCACAAAGGGTATTAGTTCAACTTGAACATAGTAAATTAACCCAGTGAACCCATATTGCTTAACTAAACCCTATAAATTTTATTTTTGTTTGGAATCAAATGCTGAAAAATGTAATCTATTGGAATAATACATATTCTCAGTTTAAACAGATGTAACCTGGAGATCAGCTGGTCACCTGTAAAGCTCCCATTCTGGCAAATTCTAATCTAATGAATACTCAGTAATTTTATAAATTAACAAGAAAGTAAATAATGAATAAAGATTTGACTGAACCAAACCCAGTTCTGAAATAAATGTATCAGACCAGGATTAATGCAAATCTGAAAATATTTTCTCTTAAACACATGTTCACCATGTAGGAACAGCATCAGGCAAAAGTCACTCTCACAGGCAGGCTCCATCCCAGCCTTACAGGCACAGGACCAAAAACCTCCATTTTCTGTTAGTGGCTTTCACTGATCAGTGCAGATTAAACACTAAACTTAATCTCTGATACATTCATTTGTATAGTTAAAATCAGTTTAAAAAAAGAAAGCTAAAATATGTATTAGAAGAAAAGTAGGATAAATGTTCTCCCGGCAAAACTGTGTACAATATAAAATTCCAACACTATGCAAACCAGTTAAAGGATATTATACATAAGGCATCTCTGTGATCTACTGATACATAACAAGTGATAAAAAGTAGTGCTAAACGTATGCAAAACTAATTAAAATCTCATTAAGAACAAAATCAGCTCAGAAAGGAATATGTGTAGCTATTTGTACCTGATATGCATGTCTGTTTCATATTTCTAACAGTCTCTGCTGGTTGTTTAAATAACTGTTCACTGGGAAGATCAAAATGTAATCAAATTAAAACCAATAATACAATAAAACCAAGGTACATTTACCTGCAAATAAATACACACATTCCAAGGGCACAATAAAAACCCGTATTAAATATATAAAGAGAAAACTCTAAAAAAATTGTTCTAATTATCCCAAGTTGCTGGACTTAGGGCACCCAGTGTGTAATCAGTGCATGTTAAAACCTATTTCCCAGAGATCTGTGACTGGCATTCTATGCAGTCTATTCAGCAGGAAGGGCAGAGCTATCACTGGTTTCCAGAGTAATTTGCAATTCAGATTCACATAAGGATTAGCAAGTGCACATAAAGCTCTCACAAAGTCTTCAGAGTACTTTAGCCTTCATCATTTGCAGCAAATACTCTAAAAGGTAATTGGTTTTCTTCTTTTCTTAGACCAATTAACTTCTGTACAACCAACACACTGCTATGATACCCTGATGGAGCATTTTTGTGTCCCTGACTCTGAAAGCTGCAGGAGCAAGAAGCCTGATCCATGGTTACCTTCCAGTAATTCCTGTGTTCACACAAATGCATATTAAAAAGGAGGTGTTTTTTTTAATTGATATTTAAAGAATTTTGTGCATCAGACCAGAGCAACAACTAAACAAGCCATGAAATTATGCTAATCAGTAGCAAAGCAAAATTTACCTGAATGTACCATGGTAAATATCCAGGCTCTTGGTGATTTCTGTGCTAGTTGCAAAGTAACAATATAATACCAGGAAACTGCACAGAGTAAGGTGCAGCCAGACACATAAAAAAAGCACAATAAAAATGTGGAACTCAAAAAGCCCAAAGCAAAACATATAACCCCAAAAAAATGTAGTTTTGTTTATACTTTTCCATTGTCTTGAGGGATATTCCAGATATAAACTCAAGAGAATGGAATCTGTATTTACCATTACAAGTTAGCTATAAATAATTTTGGGTGTATCAATAGGAAAGATAAACATAAGCAGCAAAAGCAAAAGAGGAAAATTAGCATCTGTGTGGGAGCAATGAGCAAGAGACCAGCCCCAAATAGGGCTGTTCCTTTCCTTTCCCATGCAGGTCAGCACTGGAACATGAGGGGAGAACAGCAGAGGTGCAGAAAATTTTCCCCCTACTTTGCAGACACTCCAGTTTCAGTATTTTTCCAAGTAGTTCTCTACCTGTTGCTTCCCTAGCACGTGCACATTACAGAAACCACTGTGGTTTTGTCCAAACCAACAGCTTAAATCTTGACCTGTTACACCAGTGAGAACTTTGGGGCAAAAGCCATGGATGACTTTCAGCACTATGCTGAAGGCACTCAAACGTGCCCTGAAGGAGGCTCTCTGTACAACACCAGCACCCGGAGATCAGCAGCTTTGTTACTGCAATGACTGTAATCTTTGATCTGTAACCTCAAAAACAATCTCTGATGGGCTATGTCTTTCTACTAGGAAAAACACCCACAGTTAGTAACAGATAATTTTAAAGTCTGTCAATCTGGAATGACTAAAGAAAAGCAACTTAGTATTTCTGCTTAGGTGTGATTCTCACCCTCCCTGAAGACCAGACTGATTTTCTCCACAAGCAGTTTTTCCATTTATATTGTGACTTTGTGGTACACTGTCTGTTTGCAGGTCAGTGACTGGACTTGGAATGTTCCTCTGTTCAGTTTGTCTGGTAGAAGCTGCATCCATAGTGTTCGCTGTTCCATTTTTTTGTGGAGCAGAAGTTACAGATGGAGCAAGAACATGATTATTCAACTCTGAGGTCAACTGTGGACAACAGACATCTGTCTGTGTTCCTTCTGTGTACTTCTTTGGATCAACAGGATTCACTTCATGGGATTTTAATGCTTCAGAATTGGCTACTGAAGATTCATCTACAAATATTTCTCCTTGCACTCTTTCCTGTATTGAAAAATACTGGTTAGTGGTTATATGAGCTCTATAAAATTGTTAACTAAATCCAATGCCAGGCTTAACTAGATAGTCAAACTCTGATAAATAAGCAAACTCCAGAGAAGCTTCAGAAAACCCCCTGACTGAGCTGAGGGCCAGCAAGACAGCAATGCCACTGAAGGTGTTGAGGGGGCACTTTCTAAGTGCTAATTTCAGGCTGAAGTAAGGAATTTGCTACTAACACAAGGCACTGCTAGAAAGTAAGAACCATCTAAATAACTCATAAACCTGCTGTTCCAAATCCACAGATACTTAGCAACTTTAAAGCACAAGGAAAAAATTAAACAACTTTATCTCAGCTTATGTTTGCATTCTCCTTTATCATCTATTCCACCACAGCCGTACAACCCTGAGCACATAAATATTAAAATTATAGGTTTAAATGTCCAGCAATTAAAAATTAATTCAACTTCTTTTTCTATCTCACAGAAAATCTGGGTTTACAATAAACTAGAATACTTCATTCAATACAGATGCCTCCATTCTCTGCACACCTGTAACTCAGTCTGATCTACAATAATAATAAAAGTTGCAGGTTGTAGTTTCATACAAATCCAACGTTTTTCCTGAGTTTTTTGCTCACATTGAAATTATCTTAAGGATTTACTTTTGCTTTCTCCTTCAACTCTGGAAAGATATGGTTAGTTTCATCGTATTTTGGTAAATAAGCCAACCTCATTGTGCTGTTTTTCAACTGAGTTAATTCTGAGTAAAATTTCTTCTGCTTTCTTCCAGTAGTCTTGTAGACATCTTTTTCTGACTTGCACATCCAATTCTTCTGCATTGTTCACATTTAATGAGTTATCACATGATTTCAGAGACAACTGTTCAGCTTTATAAAATATGAAACAATTAATAGTTAATATTTTATCAATTAGCATTTTAAAAATATTTATTATATTTTAGTATGCTGAGGGCCAGCCCCAACAATTTAATGCAAAAAAACAATTTTTATAAAACTTAGATTAATACATAAATGTTAACACACTTGAAATATAAGCTGCAGTTACAAGAGGTGAGCTTGCAATTACAGTTCCTATAAACTGTTTGCACAATGATGCTGTGAAAAAAAAAACCAACTACTTTTTCACTGACATAACTCTGGGTTCTTGACTAGTACCAGTCTCCGCATTATTTAAAAAAGACAATTCCATATTAATGGACACTACAAATCCCCACACCCCTGACACAAGACTGACACCATGAATGCTTTCAAGCATCAGCACTTCATTATTCCCCAGTGCAGCCTTTTATACCCCTTTGCCCTATGCATAACACCTGTGTGCCCTTTTAGCCCCTTGTCATTGCTCAGTGCACTTCAGCGTTTCAGCGCTCCTTTTCCCTTAACATGGTCACCTGTTTTACACAGCTGCACCTTACCAGGGGTGAGCTTGCCTGCAGCACTATCTCTATTCTCTTACAATGCATTCTCTCACACACCCCCCAGTCTTACACAAACCTCTCAGTTGTGCTTGCAGCACAGAAATGTAGATACAGGTTTGTTTTTTCCTGATTAGCAATTGCACACCCTCCACGCTCTAGAGATTAGAGGACAAGGTCTCTGTTTCATGGGTGGTATTGTACAGATAATTAATAAAAAATGAAACAGGGGGCCTAAAACTACATCCTGCTTCAGAAAAAAAAAAAAAAAATCAAGATTTCTTAATATTGGAGATTAATGTAGACACAGTGGTTTCAGGCTTGATTGTCTCCGGTTTATTCTCTCCCTCTAGTGGTACATCCCCAGGAAGAGAGTATCCACTGGGTATTAAATGACAATGTTCATATTTTCCAAATGGGAAAGCTTTAAGAAATGGCCCTACATGGAGAAGTTTCACAAATGCATTTTTTGCAACACTGTTGGAATTTTTCCTTCTCTTTTTTTCTGCCTAAGTCAGTTCTTGATAACAAATAAACAACTTTCTGTGCAGGAAACAAACATCTTTTGGAGTACACAGAATCACAAAGCAGCTGCAGTTAAAATCACTTGTGGAATCAGCAGAACACAGAGATGGAAACAATCACTGTCATTTTTAAAGCAGCAACAGCAAGCCTACTCATTTGTTTGCAGTTCTGCAGCACAAAAGTCGCAGCTTTGATGAGTTCCTCGTCCTGAGATTCTGTCAATAGCTGAATCATAAGTGGCAGACCATTGTTCTGAAGCAGCTCACACTGGTTTTCTTCTAGAACAAGACATGGTAAAGGAAAAGGTTTGATTTCAGCCCCACACACCTTAACCTTAATTTTAGGAGCCAAAACTGGCAACTTTCTGCAAGTTTCTGTAGAAAGAGAAGTTTTCATTACAGACCCGAGCCTGCTGCAGTGACAGCAGGAGAGCTTTACATCACACAGGATGATTTGACCAGAACTCAGATTTCTGTAAGAGAACTGAAGGATTGAGACCACTTATTCTATGGAGTTCCAAGCTCATTTAATTGTGGCCTAAAACATTTCAATCATGACTCCTGTACCACTACCTGCTCCTGGAGTAGATATGTGACATTCCTGCGAGGCCTGAGATGCAGAAATACCAAAATCTCAAGGTTTATAATTATCAAAATTGAATTAGTAGTTTAATCCTGGTGTAGCCAATCTGTTCCTCCTCATTTATCACATAATTAGCTCAATTTTTATTGTGATCTCATTCGCATATGTGTTCATATAACTGATAACTCGCTAAACATAGTTATTTCTTCTTTAAACGTAATAAAAAAGAAATTTAAACAATTAAACATATTTATTCTGACAGTACTGACATTTTTGTAGAAACCTTTTTTCTATCAGTTTAATAATTTTTCTACTCAAAAGACATTTTCCATTAAGTCTTGTTTCACTAATTCTTCTTGAAAAAAATGTCTGCTAAAATAAATTTATGACCTATTGGGCTAATTATTGGACATGATATTGGCACTCAGAGGATGAAAATCAACCAGAATTTTTGAACATAAGGCTTCTTCTTGTTAATCTAAACATACATGAGAAAAAACAGAAGTACAAATTAACTTCCCTTTCTCTTTGCTTGCGCTGCCACAACATACTAACTGAAGTGCTGTATTTGTACCAGATATACCCGGGCAAGCCCCGAGGAAGGTGACAAAAACATTTCAGGGCTACCTACTGCATCTGTGTCTTAAAGACCAGTGCTCTTACATGGCTTTTACAAATATTACTGGCCTTGTAAGCAGTGGACAGAAGCTGTATGTGCTAAGGACCATGAAAAAGAGAGCTCAGGACAACTCATTTGCTATGTCTGGATTGCAGTAGCTTTCAGGTCTGGACTAATTATTCCCTGTGACCCCTAAGCCCAGCTCTGAATTCTTGCATGATTAGTCTACTTTTTCAAAGCTACTAAAGACACTTCCTGCTGACAAGCTTTAAAATTTAAGGATGGAACATTACAGAAAACTTCTTGTCCGAATATTGACATTGTATTGTTTAATAGAACTCTCTCTCGCGTTCCAGTCTCGATGAAGTGACACTACTGGAGGAGTCAGTGTATGAGAATTTAGGAGAAGCTGACAGACAGGAAAAAGAAAAAGCAAATCTTACCACAATCTTCAGTACAGTGTCCAATTGTTAGAATAATACTGATTTTTTCCCCTGTGCTCAGTGTCTCATTGGACAGCAGCTTCAGCAGCTCTGACACAGTGTGATACTTTGCCAAGACAACACCCATGGCAGCTGTTTGTTAAAATAATTGGAAGGATAATAAAGCCGATCATGAGTGTACAGGAATTATCCAAGGATAAAATGCTGGGGTTTGAGGGAACTCTACAAACCCCTGAAAGCCTTGGGCCTGCTCAGGCCTGCCCTGCTCCACCTCTACCAGCTCAGATTGCCCCATCCCCCTGTGCTGCTCCCAAATCCAGCCCTGCCCATCCTCCCGGCCTGTGTGCTCCCCGGAGATGAGGCAGAAGATCTGATGAATGAGGGCTTTGCACTGTGCAAGCTTTGGAGATCCCTGCTGAGTTTCTCCACGTCCTTTATCAGCTCCAGCACGGAGCCAGAGAGATTTGGATCAGCTTTGACACACAGAGTATCTGCCATAAAAAGAGCAGGGGGCAAGCCCTTCCTGGCACTGCTAGTCCATCCATGCTGAGGCCCAGTCCTGTCACACCCAACTGATCTGAAACTACCCTCAGAACTGGTGCAGGTTTATGCTTTTAAACGTTTGTGAACTTCCATTTGAAGCTCTTATGGCACAAGTGTGAGATACAGCAACCATGGCCACAGCACAGGCTCGTTAGGGTCCCAGGTTTCTGCAAACCTTCTGTGGAATACACAAGACCTCATCAGGAGAGCAGTACCCAGCCAGCAAACCAGAGCACAGTGTGCTGTGCAGAAACACCACATTTGTGCAGCTCCACCTCTGAATTACTAAAGCTTCCTAAGGCTACACAATTTATTATTCAGGCATAGGCCTAACTCCAGGATCCAAACTGACTGGCCAAATCCAGACCCAGAGCTCAGCTTTACTTACCCAGCACAAGCTGTAGCATCTTATTTTTAATTTTCAGTAAGGTTTAAATTTCACTGTATTCATTTTAGCAACAATGGGACAGTAATCCACCTCAGATGAACTGACACCTTTGAATTTTAAAAAATACTGCAACATCCACTTGGATGTACAGAACTTAACTGCCTTTAAGCATTCATTTCTATAACTTTGCCACCAGCACAAGACTTTAAAAATTGCATTTTTAAATTACCATAGATAAAAAGTGTCTTTCCACTCACAGTTATTAGCAATGCAGGCATCCAGAGTCTTTGTTACTACCACTGCAAGTTTCATGCTGGAGTGACTCAAACAGGAATCATGCATAAGCTCAAGAAGAACTTTGGCTAATGTATCCAATCCTCCGATAGAAGCAAAATATTTCTGCACATATGCTTAGTGGAAAAAAGAAAAAATGTGATTTGAGTGACAGAGTTTGCAAATTCTTTTAGCATTTCACCAAGTAAGTCCATCAGAGTTTTTCTGTGCTAATCATTAAATTTCTTAAACAACAGAAGCTGGATATACATCAATCTCAAGAAATGTAGTAACTGCATATAAAACAGTTACAGGAAAACACGACCCTAATATGTGCACACAAATGGCAAACATCATGCCTGAGTTCTACCTAAGTCATTGCTTTCAGTCATGTAATGAGGACTTTAATTTAGACACCCTTTGAATCCGAACAGCTCCAGTTTTACTGACCCTATGAAGTGTGACCAGATTGTGGCTATTTGTGGACTTGAGCACAGCGTAGTGTAAGTAAAGATGGTGGAATACAGTGGTTAGAGTAAAAGCTGGAAGAACAGCAAATGACTTTGTAGAGATTGACAAGAAAGAAAAAAACATTTAGCTCTCTAATTAAACCTCCTTTTATCAAATGCAGAAGTGTGTAAAACTTCAGCTGCACTTACAGTTATTTGCAACTGTGAGACCAAGAAATGAGCAAATGGGACGAACTATCTCGGGTTCCGTGCAACTCTCGAGCCACTCTTTGGCATAGGGAAAAACCGAACAGCAAATGTTTTGATTATCTTCTGGAAAAGTAAAAACAAATTACCCCAAATCAAAAGGCAAAGAAATGAAACTTCAGCTGAACTGTAAAAGTGAAAGCAAGCTGTTACCAATTTGGAGAATATCTTTGAAGTTCTTTCACAATTTTCAGAGCAACACATACCGTTCTGGGGGTTGTTGACACACGCACAGAGAGTGCTGCACACTGAGGACCAGAGCTGATAGCAGGGATCAGTGTTTTCATCTGACACATTCTTCTCAGAGGTGGAGAGAGTTGTTCTGTTAAGGACAATGCACACAAGTCCCAGATAGCCAAGGAAACATAGCTGCTAACCAGTCCATTATTTGTCTGTTTGAATTTCAACCCTGTTTACCTGAATAACTGCAGCAGCAGGCTGATGCAGCCTGTATCTCTGACATAGGTTTGCCCATTTCCTAAAAGAGAATACACACAAGACTCCAGAGACAAATGCAATTGCAGACAAAATCTTAACATCAAGATTAGTTTACATACATGCATTCCCTTTCCTAAGCACATATCCTCCCCAGAAGGAAATACAAAATCATATCAACATATTGGTAAATAACCTTTCTATGTCTCTCTCTTTCTATACACTCTCAGAAATTATGGGTTTCCATTGGCAAACTGTATTTTTAGAACTAAACCACGTTCTGCTGTTTAAGGAAATCCCAGTGAGCAATGACCTACTGAAACAATTCAGGTTCAGGTACATGCAAACATTCATCTTTATAAACTAACTTCACCAAAACATTACTTATTGAATGTTCCAAATTTTGTACTGCAGATTGGAAAACAGAAAAGGAGTGTTGTTGTAACACAGGAAAAAAACCAACTTACTATTATTTGAAACCAGTACTAAGATGACATAAACAGACATTCTTTTCAAGTTCACACCAGAATCCTTTTTAATTAAAAATAAAATGAGGTCTTCAAACAATGCAGAAGTACACAAAGTCTGTTGACAATACACTGAAAACAGAAAGTGAAAACCATTAAGTCCTAAAGTAAGCCACTCATAATCCTAAATTATTAAGTCTCAATTGTGGCCAGTATGTGGGGAGTGGAGACAGGGCAGGACTATGAAGTGACTGAGGGCTTCCCCCTGCAGTGAGCTCTACACCAACCAGGACCCTGCAAGCTTTGCAACAATCCAGGAGTCACTGAACACTTGCTGCTGAGGGAGAGGGGGAGTGCAGGTGTCTGGAAACTTGAAGACACCCTGCGTGCACAAGTCAACAAGGCACTGATCAAATCTGGGGATGGACAGGGCAACTGGCACACCTTCATTGCCCTTGCTCCAACTGACAATCTTGTAGTCTCATTCTGTGAGACCAAAAGAAAATGGAGACAAGGCACGAGCACAAGCAATGACAGGGGCCATGGTGCACTCAGAAATACAAACAATATTATTTTTACTACCATTACTCTCTATGATAATCCCCAATGTAAATAAAGCTGCTTCCTTTACGATGCAATGAGCACTCGACTTGGCAAGGTCATTTATAAACATCAAACCACCAATTTCTCGAAAGTATTTGCTCGCTTCACCTACAAGAGGAAAAAAGAACAGAAACTTTTGCTTTGGTTTCTCTGCAAAATGAAAGGCTTCTAAGATTTTCCAACATCTCCAACCTTATGTCCTTTGGACATTTTTACAGGGCCCACCAGTTTCTTAGCATACATGGTGAACAGAAATGACTGCATTGTTTCTAAGGAAAAGCCTTCCTTCCTTACTGTTTTGTTGGCAAATGGAATAGATAGTGATCAAAGCCTCCTTCTGAGACAGAGGGCAGTCCATCTGATATTTAAGGCATTCAAGCAGTAAGTTCAGATCTGTTTTCACGTCTAGGAGCAAACACAAAAACCTTCATTAAATTTGTTATATCTTCTATATGTTAATCTAGTCAGTATTAGAACAAACCTGTCCAAAATGTAGTACGCACATGTATTTCAAAAAAGGGGGAAAAGGGAGTCAAAATGGAGCTACATCACTTCTATTCAGCCACAAACAACAAACCAAGAAGTATTTCTGTCTATAGTTTGTTAGTTGAGCATGATTTCCTTTGCAGAGTAACAGCCTCCTTTTAACATTTCTGGCCTTTATTTACTAGTAACTCTTAGTAAGTCTGATGTCAACTACTAAATAGTAAATTCACAATTGCAAGGTGCATTAAGTGTAAATAATACACAGCCATTAAAATATTCAGAGTGCAAATACAGTTGAAAATCTATGGAGTAGTAAGGAAAGAGCCCAGGAGCACAAGGCTGCTCCGTGGTACTGAGTTACAGGAGACACAAATCATGCACCACAGCAGCAGAGCCCTCAGTCAGGTGGTTGGAGACGTAACACAAAATATCCTCATACAACCCTAGGTGGGTAAACAGACTTGGAAAATATGCTTCTGAGTCTTTGGGGTATAATTAAAAGACTTACTTGATAATTATTTATAACAGCGACAGAAGGTATTGTTTATTGTAAACCTCTACAAGGTTTGGGGGTTTTTAGAGAAGTTAAAATACAATAAAAATGTGGATAAATATTAGCAAATTAAAAAAATGACTTTATGGTGGTGTGCTTTACTATGTGTGTAGGTTTGTCACTTGATTTACCCTTTGCATATCCAATACAGTATCCAAAATGTGGCAACTAGGAAAAAGCACATTTCCCCAACTGCTCACCACCCCACAACAGGCCTGTCACAGTCTACTAAAACTTTGTAAAACTGATGCAGACAATAATGACAAGTTATATTAGGTTATCTTACCACACTGATTTATCTGCACCTTTTGAGTGTTCATTTTTGTTTTCTCTGTTCTTGTTCTACAACAGCAAGGAAAAAGTGTTTTCAGTTCTGATCAGATTAGCAGTGTTATGCTAATAATGATAATATATGCAGTATAAATGACATCATTCTTCTAAAATGCACTTTTTCCAGTTTTCTGCTTTTACTCTGGCATCTCACACACACAGTTTCACGTATTCTTGTATGGCAAAGTTTTCCTTTGGAATTATAGTATTTTAGAATAATCCTGCATTTCTAACTACCAGGTTATCATGTGAAAGTGGACATTCTGCAGAAATCAGGTAATTCCATGTTACCATTGAGGGGCACTGTCAGCAAAGAATATCCCCTGCTCTGTGTCGCTGATCACAACAAAGCTGATCCAATTTTCCTTACAAGAGTGGCCAACTTTGCCATCAGCCAACAACTGGCACTAAGACCAAGTAATGTTACTTAGGGTGTGAACACTAGAAAACACTCAGCCTCCTGCCGCTCAAGGAGCCACTAAACCATCAGCATTGTTCTGCCAGTACTGATCAAACCAAAGGCTATGATCACAGAGACATAGTCCTGACAGGGAGAACTCATTTAAACTCACCAAAGACATTGCCACATTACATGAACCATGTAACCCACAAAACCCCACAGCGTTGATTCTTCACAAACCCAACGTGGCAGCCTCTGAGAGCAGAGCAGCAGAGTGACATTCAGCTTTGGAGGCAGAAAGATGCTCCCTCAAACATGCCCCAAGTCCCAAACACAGAAGGTTGATGCAAGCATCACAGTAACCTATTACAATTTCTCAAAAAATTACTTAGTTCAGGTAGAAACTTTAAATCAGTGCTGAATCCAGCAATCCAAAAATAATGGATTTGTTTTCCTTCTCAAAGTGGAGCAAAGGCTCAAAGCAGAATCATTGTCATCTTAAAGAAGACAGCCAGCCCTGCTTTCTCTCCAGAGTTACTGATCGCCCCCATAGAATTGAGAGAGTTCATCTCCCTGCAGCCTTTCAGAAGTGAGAACAGACATGCATTTCATTTTCCTGCAAATCCAACCCTGCCACAACAAGGAAAAGCTTGTGAGCCTTCCTCACCTCTTTTTGTCCTACTGCCATCACTCCACCAGCCTAAGAAAAAAACGAAAACCACCCGAACAAAAGGAAGGCTGTAAAAATGAGTTCACTCTGGAGCTAATTGCATTTCAGAAGAGTTTAATTTAATACATGTTTATACAATTATACAATTTAGGAAGCACAAAGGGTTTAAAACTGTATGTATACAAGGACACATCCTGGCCTCACCTGGATCTTTTTTCTTTTGCAACCTACAGAAGGTACACAAAATAGTATTTATAGGCCAGCCTACATTGATTAGATGCAAATAGCTCACCCTCTGTTGCTGCATCACAGGGCAAGGTGGAAAGACAGGAAAAGAAATTTGCTTCAACAAACATCGCACGAGTGTTGCATATAAAACTCTTCTCCATCAGTTATGGAAAATAACCCAGCAACATCGCTTCAAACCTCAGAAACCACTCCTGGAGAAGTGCAGATCTGTCAGTCTGTGTGCTCAGCAGCCCTAGAGCACATGGCTGGCACGGTCAGTAGACCAGTCAGCCTCGGCGGGACTTATCCTTGGAAACCCAGGGACCAAATCCCAGAGGGGAGAAGTGCGGGTTGTTGGCGTCCTGTGGAAACCAAACCCCACAGCAGCAGCTGAGGCCGTGAGGACGCTGCGCTGTGCAACAGGACTTGGGAGTGTCCTGGCCTGTTTCATCTCCCTCGCACCCTCCTCCCTCAGACGAGCCGTGTGTGATTTACAGCTCATTATCAGAGCTCCACTCTGAAGTCTTAGCAACCACTCCAGATCAGCCCAAATATAAAAGGGAAAGAACATATAAAAGATTTAAAATAAAAAGGGGGGTGTGGGGGGGAGGCAACAGTCTAAAGATGAAACAGCAGCTGCATTCTTCTGTGGGAGGGCTGGGGAGTCCCGAGGCGGGAAATGGGGCACAGCTCAGGTACCTGCGATCCGGCGGCGCGGGCGGCTCCGGGCACACCCCAAGGCGAGGCGGGCGCTCAGTGCCGAGCGCTGCCCGGCTGAGGGGTGGGACCTGCGGGCTGAGGGGTGGGACCTGCGGGCTGAGGGGTGGGATCTGCGGGCTGAGGGGTGGGATCTGCGGGCTGAGGGGTGGGATCTGCGGGCTGAGGGGTGGGATCTGCGGGCTGAGGGGTGGGATCTGCGGGCTGAGGGGTGGGATCTGCGGGCTGAGGGACGAGATGGCCGGGCTGAAGGAAGGGGTTTGCAGGCTGAAGGACGGGATGGCCGGGCTGAGTGATGGGATCTGCGGGATGAGGGGTGGGATGGCCGGGCTGAGGGATGGGATCTGCGGGCTGAGGGGTGGGATCTGCGGGCTGAGGGGTGGGATGGCCGGGCTGAGGGATGGGATCTGCGGGCTGAGGGATGAGATGGCCGGGCTGAGGGGTGGGATCTGGGCTGAGGGATGGGATGGCCGGGCTGAGGGACAACGGAGGCCCCACCGGGCTGAAGGGAGGGATCACCGGACTGAGGAACGGGATCTCCAGGCTGAAGCACGGCGGAGGCCCCGCCGGGCTGATGGGTGGGATCCCGCGGATCTGAGGGCAGCCCCCGGCCCGGCCCCTCAGGAGACGCCGCAGCCGCAGCGCCGCCCGAGCGCCTCCGGGCGCGGCAGCCTCGGACTGGGACAGCTCTGAGCATTCCCTCAGCCAGGCGGGAAGCGCTTGGAATTGCAGAACCGTCAGGGGTGAAAGAAATCTTTAAGATCATCCAGTTCAACGTCAGCCCAGCAATGCCACTGCAAACCCGAAACCATTTCCCGGTGTCAGATCCAGAGGCCTGTTTAACACCTCCAGGTGTTATAAATTGAGGCGAATAATTTGATTCAGCCTTTTAAGATCAATTAATAATTTTATTAATTACAGCAAGCGATAGCAAGCAAACAGCGCTGGGTGCAGCTGCGGAGCCTGTGTTCCGCCAAAAGCTGACAACCTTTCCTTCTCTTCAGTCCCTTTTTATCCTGCATAAGTGGGGGTGATGGGTCTCCTTCCACCGTGGTTATCAGTTCCAGCAACAATGGGTTTCACAAGTGGGGATGGTGAGTCTCCTTCCACTGCGGTTATCAGTTTCAGCAACAATGGGTTTCCACTGCGGTTATCAGTTCCAGCCAGTCCTGCAAAATCTTTCACAATCTTTGTTTGTGGTTACCAGTCAAGCCTGCAAATTCCATGTCCCGACTTCCCCCCCTTTTATCCTAATTTCATACTTTTGATGAACAAACAAGTCAATGCAGTTCCTCACAGTCCCCCATTCCATATTTTATCATTTTGTTCATCAAATCGTTTTATTTCTTGGTGGGCTAGAATCAAAGTCTCTTCTACTTCAGGATCTCTAGGGAGAGTTTCATATTTGGCTTTGATTAGCATCAGGTGTGCTGCTTCCAATCTTCTTTTTACTATTTCAATTACCTTGTTGAATATACATGGGCCAAATGTTAATCCTAACACTAATAATATTAAAGGACCCGCAATTGTAGATAGCAAGGTAGTTAACCAAGGGGAGTGATTAAACCAGGTCTCATACCAGCTCTGCTGGGCCTCCCTTTCCCTTTTCCTTTTCTCAAGTCCTGCTTTCAGTTTTGTCATAGTGTCTCGTACCACCCCAGTGTGATCTGCATACACACAACATTCTTCCCGGAGAGCCGCACACAGTCCTCCCTGTTGTAAGAATAGCAGATCTAGTCCTCTTCTATTCTGCAGAACTACTTCCGATAAGGACCTTACTGACTTTTCTAATGCTGATATTGATTGTTCTATACGTTCCAAATCTTCGTCTACAGCAATCCTCAGGGAATTAAACTCCTTTGTTTGTTTTACTAGGGAGGCTACTCCCGTACCGACACCTGCTCCCCCTGCAAGCATTAAAACTGCCACTGTAAGTGCGGTCAAAGGCTCTCGTTTTTGTATGTGGTGTTCTGGGATGTTTTGTACATTATACATATATTCGTTGGGGTGATAGATAATTTTGGGAATCACAGCCACCTGTATACAATAGTCAGAGGTTTCGTCAAATATTTCTAAGGAAATACAGGGGGTGAATCCTCCTTTTGAGCAGATCCACTTGGTTTTTTTAGCGGGAACTAGCCATTTAGCTGGAGTATCTTCCCGTTTAGCTTTAGTAACTGTCTCACATAAATATTCCAGGTGTGTGGGTACTCTGCCAATACATCGTCCTCTCCCCGTTATTGAAGCCAAAGTCATTCCTTTACCCCGGGAATCTTTCCAATTACATTGCGGGGGATTGCTACCATTAAGACGTCTCGCCTTTTCAGATATCCCTACAGCTTCGTAAAATGGAGGCCTAACATCAAAGCAGAGCCAACAGTGTTCTGTTAATTCTGGCTGAGTAGCATTTAAGACTTTATATACTCCCTCCATTAATTTCCAGAGAGTGTTAAACTGGGAATCCCCACTTGGAGGTGTTGTAGGAGTTGTAGTTTGGTTATCCGTTATCAGGTTCCTAGCTGTTAAATCCCTAACTATTACAGGATTAGGGCCTACTGCCTGTGTGTCTGCTGGTACAGGCCCTTTCTTTATGGTAAATACACTCCCTCTGTCTTTTCCAGGTTCCCAATACCAAAAGCCCCATGATCTTCCCACCATCCATCCTGGGTCTGTGGGCTCAGTTATGTTTAAATGTACAAATTGGCAACTCCCTTTCCACCCGCCCAAGAAGGCGCCACTAGAATCCTTTTGTGGAGGTGTACACCCATAGGGTCCCCATGATACTTTAAGAAATTTATCTCCTGCTGCTTGCCAGTCTGAGGCTATTGTTTCACACCCCCAGTACCCACAGAAATATTCTCCAGGGTAATTGCAATACCCCTTTCCTGGGTTCGATGCTGGACACATGTAAAATCCTGCGGTATTAAAACAGGGCTCTACAGGGGCTAGTTCACATAACTGTGGGGTAAAAATAGGGGGTCCGGATGTTATCTGACTCCGAATTACCCTGCCATCTATTCCGGTTAGCGTCCACTTAAAGGGCTGGTGCAGAGCCGGGGAACTCTCCCCTTTATGTATGATACAAAGCATTAAAATACTTATAATCTGCCAATAAGGGTGGGGTCCTGACCTTGTTTTTACTGCATAATATCCTGTTTTCCCTTTTTGGGTTTGTTGCCTTTTTGGTGTTTCAGAGGCAATCAGACGGGTCGTCCAGGGGAACCTAGTACTCGGTTGGCAATAGTTGGAGCATTTTAGCATTATTCCATTGAGGGGGGACCTGGCTTTTTCCCCTCTGCCTCGCTCGCCGACCCGGTTGCTTCGAGCCGCGAGGTGAACCATCTTCTCGGCAGCAGCGGTACTCGCCTGGGCGTCCCTTCCCCTGCTCCTGCCTAACCTTGTACTGTTCCCAATTTTTATCCTTGACCGGGGTGGGTCGCACGGGACCCCCTTTAGTTCCCTCCGACAACACCCTTTTATAATTTGGGCAACAAATGGAGTGGGTTCGTTAGTATGGAAACAAAAGTTTCCTGGATGCACTCCTTTTGTGTATATTTTCCACCAATCCTCAGACTCGAAACGAACCCACTGATTTTCCAATTCCCCTAATTTTAACACAATTTTGGTTAACTTTCGTTCAGCCTTAGAGCATTCTGTACAGACCCCAGTTGGCGGCCTCCCCTTTTGGCAATGGACCCACCACCGTTCTTGGCAAACTTTACACGCAAAGCACACAAAAGGATAACAATCACAATCTACCTTATTACAAATTATCAAATAATCACTAACAAGCAGGTAATCATATCCCTTTTGTTCCCCTTTGTGATCAACTTGAATGGTACACACAGAGTTCATCGGTTTTTCTTAATGGTAACCTTCAAATCCCCAGGCAGGCTGGTCACTTTCCACTGGTCATCTGTGGTGATCGGACCTTTAACTCGACTGGCATGTGTCCACCCCTTCTCGGCTGTCCGTATCGCAGTTCCTGTGGTAAGCAGAACAACAAAGGGGCCTTCCCAACGTGGGGTTAAAGAATTTTCTTTCCAGGATTTAATAAGCACATTGTCCCCTGGTTTGATTTTATGTATTGTAATGTCTAAAGGTGGCCTCTGTGTCAACATCCCTTTTTCCCTCAATTCCTGCCTTCGGCTCATAATTTGTATGATATAATGCTTAATCTGGGAATCCTTCAAGCATGGATGGTCTGTAGGGGCTTCCATATCATAAGGCATTCCAAATAGCATTTCAAATGGGGAGATTCCTACATCAGTTCGGGGTTGAGTTCGAATATTTAATAAAGCCAGAGGCAAACATTTTACCCATGACATCTTGGTTTCTAACATCAATTTCGTCAGTTGTTTTTTTATTTCCCCGTTCATCCTTTCCACTCTCCCCGAGCTCTGTGGATGCCAAGGAGTGTGATATTTCCACTGGGTTCCTAAGGCCGTTAAAACATCTTTTGCGATTTTAGATGTGAAATGAGGTCCCCTATCTGAGTCTAAATATTCAATTAATCCATATCGGGGAATAATTTGTTCTAGTAATACTTTTACTACGGTATTTGAGGTGGCTCGGGCAGTAGGATAGGCTTCCACGTAATGGGTCAAATGGTCTACCAGTACCAATAAATATTTATATCTCCCCACTTTTGGTAATTCTGTAAAATCTACTTGTATGTGTGAGAAGGGTCTTTGTGCTAGCTCCCTGCCGCCCATTGGTCTTTCTCTCAGTTGTTGTTTATTCACTTTTTGACAAGTTAAACACTGTTGAGTTACCTGTTTTGCAAGGTTATAGACTCCTATACACATATATTTTATAGCAAATTGATCAACCAAGGCTTGTGTACCCCAGTGGGTTTTCTCATGGATTGCTTGTAGGACCCTCATTGCCATCCCTTTTGGGAGTACTTCCCGCCCGTCGGGCAATACCCATTTGCCTTCCTCTTTTTCTCTTATCCCCATCTGGCCTAATTTCTCCTTTTCTTGCACAGTGAAGGCTAGTATGTAATCAATAGGTCCATGAAACCAGCAATGTTTCTTTCGAGGGGTATCACAGGCACATTTTATTGAGTCTATCCCATAGTATTTCCAGCAAACCCAACACGGTGGATCTTCTAAGTCAGCTCCACAAGTGGAGCAATCCTCTCTCCTTGTGACAAGCCCTGTCCATGGCTTTAAATTCATCAGGGCCGCTCGTTTCGCTT